CCCATTACCCACATGTGAATATGCACCATAATTTCATCCTAAATGTAATTCACTAAAATTATCGTAACTTAGAACAGTGTAATATTTTCATATTATTACAAAATTACAACATTAATAGTTATAATGAAAAAGAAAAAATAATAATATAAAAAATTAAACCTAAATTCCATATAAAATAATAATAATAATAATAATAAATACAATTAAGCATATCAGATTAAAAAGAAATTCATTTAAGTATCTTTACTCATTATTTCCAAAAAATTTTTAGGTTTTGAGCGGAGTGATGAATGTATTGATTTTACAACAATGTGTGTGTTAAGTGTTTTCTTTTGTGTGTCTTTGTAGTAATCGAAATAATTCTTCGATTTTCGGCTTCAGAATCTGGTTTGATGGTAAAGTGAATCTAGTTGATGCATTAGGGAAATCATAATTTAAAATTCACAGTAATTTTCAGTGACCGGGAAAATAAAAAAAAAAAATTAAGGAAAAACTGTAAAGCTTAACCAAAATCGATTTTTGACAAAAGTGATTTTGATTTTTAGTGTAACTCTAAAACAAATTACCGTAAACACATGCAATTTTCACTGATTATTATCATTTTATATACACCATACAATTTTTAAAATATTTTGATTTGTTTTCAGCTTTTCACGGACATTTTCAGTTTCCAATTTTTTTTCTAAAATCTCAGATTTAAAAATTTAATACAAAATTCCTCATAAGGTGTCTACTTTTATCAAAAAAAAATTTCTACCTGAATGTCGAATTCAATTTTTATGAGCGTTTGAAGTTCAAATTTTTATAATATTGGATATTCACACGATTTTTTCATGTAGGGAATTTTCTTATTTTGTTGTAATTATTCAAAAACGAATAACCTTAGACAATTGAGATTTATATCATAAGTTTATTTTATCAATTCCTACCTACACAACTTTTTTTTGTAAGCATTTAAAATTCGAATTTTGACAAACTTTATCAAATTGAAAATTGAAAAATTATTTTGTAGTTAAAAATGTATAAAACGTTCAACTTATATATATATTATATATAAGGATTGAAAATTTGAAACAAGGTAGGTTATTCTGTAAGCAAAAAATCTAACAAATATGAAAAGAGATTTTTTTATAGTTATTTATTATGTTCAAATTTGGATGATATTAGATATTTAAATTTTAAATAAAGAATAACGATTTTAGTCTTATGTTATATTTAAAAAAATATTATTCGTTTGTAACTTCTAAATTATATTATTACATACAAATATGATAATAAACAAATAATAATAATTCAACCTATTGGCTACCGTATTAATAAAAATGAATTCAAATTTAACACTATCCATTACAGTCACTCACTTGTAACCTACCGTAGGGACAGCAGAGCGACCTCCACTTACCCGATTTTTTTTATATTAATTTTATGTCACTGCTAAACAACTTTACAATATTTTATCGTTATACATCTGATGTCTATGTTGTAATTTTTCGAATGACAACTATGTCATACATTTTTAATTGAAATTAAAATCGATTAGTTGATTAGTTATGACCATTTAAAGTTTAGATGAGTGAGTACATTGATACCCCGAAAAATGTTGAAAACACACCCTAGGTCAGTTTGTGAATAATTAATTTTTCATTCTCATCAACTGAAATACATGCATTTTCAAAAAATATGATCACCTAATGGTTGATATTTTATGTATCAAGAAAATATAATATAGTATTATATACCTTATTAAAAAACTTAAAAGAACACAGTATTCACTGCAAAATACTAAATAGGAAATATAATTTATTTAGGAATTAAAAATATATTGTATTATTGTGAATAATACACAATACGTCAGCACATAATAATATAATATACTCTACAAACGTTAATAACAGCTATATGTGTGTAAATCATAACGTTTATAATAATTCATAACTACAAAAATGTAGATAAATAATGATTTAATGAGCAGTCCGTGGTGATATTTACATACGCCGCATCGCAATCCGCAGCGTGATTAATTTTTTTCCACTCCAAATCATTGAGGTTTTTTTTGTTAATTTTTTGTCCGGATTATATTACGCAGTAATCTATTTTATATCCGACAAAATTAAATACGTATCACGCGCACACGAATATCTGCATAACCATTGGGGATTTTTAAAAACAAACGAATACCTACCTATCGTCTATTGCGTAAAACCGATGATCGATAATAAATTATTACCTAATAAATAAAAAGGTGCTCTGCTGTATAGTAGGTTACAAGTGGGTCACTGTGTAATGGATGGTATTAAATTTGAAAACTACTGGGAAATTTTTACTTTTGACTCCCCAAAGTACCAACTAGATTCACTTTCCTATCAGATAAGATACTGTTGAAGAAAATCCAAGCACTTACCTTACTGTCCTAAAAGGTAATGACAGACACAAAAATAAAAAACTAAAAAAATAAAAAAATAAATCATATCATACCCGATACCCATCTAAAAATTGATATAATATATCCGCATTTGTTTCGTCATTTATGTGTGGAAAATCGATTTCATTCTATTATTAATTTATATTTATATTTTTAGCAATAACATTGTTCGATGTTTTTGAATTTAAACCTAGGGAAAGCTATTTATTACTATAGTACATTTTTCTCCATATTTTGATATCTATTATATCTTAAAATATATAATATTTCTTCTGACCCTGTTTAAGTGTTCAAACTCATCCTAAACGGCTGCACCGATTTTGATGACATTTTTTGTGTCATCCACCCTGTGCTCAAACAGGGATTTGAGATTTACTATAGACATTATTGTTTATAAATGGTTGGTATTGGTTATAGGAGAAATTAGTATTTATTTATTATTGGCTGCCATTTTCGCACAATGCTTACCAAGGTGGCTGAGTTGAACTTATAGCTATAAGTTTATACTATTTAACTATAAGCTTATACTATAACTTACTGTCTACCAGGTGGGCCAATTAGTACTTATAACTGCAGCGAGTTACACCCAAAAGAAGTTGAAGCAATTTTTTTAAGAGTTGTAATTTTTAAAGGACAACAAAGAGCGTGGGATCAACTAGTTATACTATATTATTAATTTTATTATAGTAAATAATATATTACTAAAATACCTACCTAGATACAATAAAATATAAGGGGGACGGAGTGGCCGAGCGGACTAAGCCAGCCGACCCGAGTTCGATTCCTTGGCCACGGGGGGCATTTTTCTTCGGACAAGTAACTGTGTCCGGAGAACAAATGCCGCCATCCCCCCCCCCCCGGGCATGGCAGATACCTACGAGTGCCCAATCAAAAATTCTTCCAAACACAACATACACGTGTAAAAACCATACTATTACAAACCCTACTACCCAAAATCAGCTAATGGCCATAGTCGCCGGGCTTTAAAGATCAATAATATAATAACATAAGCTCGGGAAGTTGTATTCATGATCAACAACCACTCTATTAGGTTATACTATACCTAGTCATATCCTAGTATGAGTATCAGGAATAACTAATAAGGTATGTACACGTTTATTATATGTACCAAATATTATGTCTCTATACCTATACATCACATTAGGAGTAGGAAATTATGAAATTGTGTCTAATACTTATACATAATTTTACCAATTGTTGATGTTAAAAAATGTATTCAAAGCATCAAAAATGTGTTTTATTGATTTAGAAAAATCCATTTTTATATTATTTGTACACAATAGAAAGTTATCAGAGTAAATGAAAAAAAAAAAAAATCATGGGATACAATTCGTGTGTGTCCATTCACATACTGACCCATTTAATGATGTACTAGCCTTTTGCTATGAGATATTTTCTTAAATTGATAATTGGCTATCGAGTATACACATTTTAGTACCTACATTAGGTACCTACTCGTATAAATGCATTTAAGTTAGAATACAGGTACTGTACAATAATATTGTTATAGTCAGAGAGCCCGTGGAGTTGTAACTTGTAATTACATACGTATTATGGAAGTTACTATTACGTTTATGTTTTATATTATCACGCCGAAAAACCACGGTAATCTCGTCTCTCTCACGTGCCTCCAGTGGCGTGGATAGGGGATGTTTTGAAATATTCTTACACTCTCCCATCAGTATATAGGCAACTAGGGGGTCTTGGGGCAACTTAACCCCCCTAAACTTATAGTATTCCCTGAAAAATAAATTATTCAATTGTTTCCTAAAATATTAATAAACCTTTAAAAATTTCACTGTAGGTATTTCTTATTTTTTTTTTTTTTTGGGAAATAAAAATTTAATTATCTGATTTTTATTTAAACTTTATAATTATTTTATATTGCTTGTGATAAAAAGGGTAAATATCAGTAGCTGTATGTCTATATTTGTTTTAAGTACCTAATCAATTTAATATGTTGGTGAGATTAAACTAAGATTAAACTTATATTGTAGTTTGGGGATTTTTGTTCCGATTTCCACAGACAGTATAATATTATTGTGAAAAATGAAACTTGAGTAAATAAATATTTGGTCTTTTTGTATGGTTTTTTTTCTTATTTTTAAGGATATATATATGGGGGTGTGTGGGCATCGTCCCACGGGTTACTTTTTATATATCAGGTGGGGGTACAGCCCCCCCCCCCCCTCAACAATTTAGCCCTAGTTGCGCCGCTTCAAGTCATATTTATGAAAAAAACATATTATATGTATAGCTATAGCTATAACAGATTTCTACAAGATATGCTTTGTCATAATATGGTTCCGTTTCCTATTCAATGTTATTATCGACTTGAATATCGATGGATTAAATGATGAAGGCCCCTCGCACACATAATATACTTATACGTCGATTCAAATACAAAATTACGCGCTTGACCGCCACCGACGGACATCATTGTGCAGGCGGTACCTACCAAGTGCCGGCCGACTTCCGGTTCCCCGAAATCTTCCGGAGATTTTCGTTCTCGGTATTATGTACGCAATAGTTATTATTATTTTATAGCAGGTGGACAATGGAAATGCTTATGGCGGTCGTGCGCGGTCCAAACCGTGTGCGAACCGCAAACAGCGCCACCGCCACCGCCGCAGCAGATACGCGATGCGCGCAGGCCAAAAGAGACAGGAGCAACAGTTCGCCGCCGCCGCCGTCGCAGTGGTCGCCGTGGTCGCGCGTTCTCCAAAGGACCCCTTTTACGTGCCCCGCCGGCCGCCGAAACGGCAGTAGTCACGCGACGCTCTCGTCGACAGTTTCCCGCGGTGGCGTTTTCGGAAAATTCGCGTGGCACCGCCAGGAGAGGGATCCACGTGCCCCCGACGGCCATGGACGCAAAGGTAACTAGATATATAGCTACGATGTATAATTTTTTCATCCCACCGCAAACGACTTGCAGTGTCGTCATCTATAATATATACGTATCGGTATAGATATGTACATCGATTCAAAAATACTTTTAGCGTTGTCGCCTTCCGGTGGTGTACGCTTTACCCACGAGCGAGGAGCATGTGGTATATACATAGCGTATACGGGGATAAGTGAAGGTACAATATCATGTATTTCCATCGTTGAAATTTCGAAGGGGGGTGAAATTGTAACGTACCTACCATCAACCTCGCTCTAAAAATTTGTCATTTCCTCATATTATGGTATAAATGTATTGTTAAAACGTCAATATTATAATGTTTTCAAACACGCATGTTACTATGTTAGTCATTGATTACCTATTATATCTACTAAATGTTGAAGTAAATACCCAGTGGTAAAACAATGCATAATTTATATGGCATAGATGTATACTTATATCCAATAGGTTTTAAAAACAAATTTAAAACAAATAAATAGAAAATCAAAAAAAATATTTGAAGGTTATGATTTGAAAATCACACTTACACAAAATGACCATCTTGATACTCCTTTCCCCTCCTACATTAATAAAAAGAGAAAAGACCTAATCTTATAATATATACGACGTGAACGAGGAGTGTTTTTTTTTTTTTATTAGATCCGCAACTAGTTACTAAGGTTATTGGCTTACAATATTGACAACAAACGGTGGGGTTTGTTTACTAAGACGATGAGCTCAGCGATGAGCCGATACTTCACATGAAATGTAACCGGTGCGTAAAAATTAAAATCACTAGACTGCCGTGCATGGTCTTGTAAAAATATTTGTCACGTATGAATATTATATTTACCTATGGTGGTATTGATAAATTATTGCCTTGTAAATAAATTGCTATTATTATAGACGTATAGCTGTTTATTTTCCTAAAAAAAAAAAAAACATTTTGAAGGTCTTATACTCTCATAGTTTCATCTAATCAGTAACTCTAAATTAAAATAGTAGGGATCATTTTTAAATTTAATTTTTTTTTAATAACATTTTGTATTAAGTTCAAATTAATTTAATCATTATGTAACTGCCTATCACTACCAAATTGTTATACGGTTTAACTAGTTAAAAATGTGACATTGTACCTATAACTTACGTCACTTTAAAAATCAACTTTAAACAACTACTAGACAATTTGTACCTATAGTTCAAAAAGTTGTGTTGGATGCTTCCACCGTTTATTAATAGTTGTAAGGCGTATTAGTCGGTTTGGGCCTGAACATGTACAGATTGAATATAATATATTATAAGTAGGTAATATGTATTATATTCAGGTAATACAATTTTCTTTTTAGAAATACTTATGTTTATTCAATTACTGTATGTTATGTGCATATTTATAAAATAATACTCTCGGACAAGCATATTATTTAGTTAAAGAGCAGTCAATTAACCATTTTAATATAAAATATCAGCAGCTATAATTATTGTATTTAGTAGTTTAAGATTAAACATAATTTGGTGTCATTAGTTATTACCAAAGTTATTTTGATAGGTGTTGACAGTCTAAGTATAATATGAAGAAAATGCCAATAAATTCCATATGGGTAATATAACAAGCACGAATTAATTTTGTTACTGGGATTGAAAATCTTATCGGCAATTTTGTTTCAAATCTCATCAGTGAATTTTTGCTTCATCGGATGAAAATGTTAGTATATTTTTTTAAGTAGACCTATATTTTATAAGCCGTGTTTATTAAAAAAAAAACCATTTGATGAATTTTTTTTGGTTCTAAGGTCTTAATTTTTTTTTTAAATACATAGGTTTATCGCAGTTGTTTTTGTCCACCGAATTTTCAAATTTTAATTTAGTGTACACGTGTGTAGGTATGCGCTCCCATTGAGTGTCCATTGTATCGGCACATCGATCCATTGTTTTAAATCGTTTTTCGGTTTCAAAAAACTCGGCGAGTTGCCACATATCGCCGCCTTCACGGTATCACGGACGGCGTTCGTTCTTAGAATAGTAAATACGACGCAACGCTCCTGCCGGTATCTACCGAGTTAAGGCATTATCATGGTAGTTTGTGCCGTACCGTAGCATAAGTTTTGTAATTTTTTTCGTCCGACCGGAAAAACGTATAATCCATCGATGGTCTGAAGCATTAACGTTTTATCGTATAGTTGTGTTCACGGTAAGGTATAAAAATGTCGTCACACGATATTATTTAGTCTAGACGGGTCTCATTAAACTTAGGTATACAAATAGGTACTATTTTTTATTCATTTTTTTTATTTATTTAGTTCTAATGGGTTCTAACAGATATATGGCAAATGGCGTAAAACCGATGATCGATAATAAATTATTACCTAATAAATAAAAAGGTGCTCTGCTGTACAGTAGGTTACAAGTGGGTCACTGTATAATAGATGATATTAAATTTGAAAACTACTGGGAAATTTTTACTTTTGACTCCCCAACGTACCAACTAGAGATGAAGAAAATCCAAGTACTTTTACTGCCTAAGAGGTGATGACAGACACAGAAATAAAAAACTAAAAAATAAAAAAATAAATCATATCATACCCGATACCCATATAAAAATTGATATAATATATCCGCATTTGTTTCGTCATTTATGTGTGGAAAATCGATTTCATTCTATTATTAATTTATATTTATATTTTTAGAAATAACATTGTTCGATGTTTTTGAATTTAAACCTAGGGAAAGCTATTTATTACTATAGTACATTTTTCTCCATATTTTGATATCTATTATATCTTAAAATATATAATATTTCTTCTGACCCTGTTTAAGTGTTCAGACTGATCTTAAACGGCTGCACCGTGGCAACGCTTCTGCCGGTATCTACCGAGTTAAGGCATTATCATGGTAGTTTGTGCCGTACCGTAGCATAAGTTTTGTAACTTTTTTCGTCCGACCGGAAAAATGTATAATCCATCTATGGTCCGAAGCATTAACGTTTTTCGTATAGTTGTGTTCACGGTAAGGTATATAAATGTCGTCACACGATATTATTTAGTCTAGACGGGTCTCAATGGTCTCATTAAACTTAGGTATACAAATATAGGTACTATTTTTTATTCATTTTTTTATGTATTTAGTTCTAATGGGTTCCAACAGATATATGACAAATGGCGCATCGTTATGCATTTTATACTTATATTCGCGTACGATGGAAATGGAATACGGGAGTCGAGGGTATAAATGGAACACAGAGACAATTTAGGCTGATTATTTTTACTACCGTTAAATTATTATGAATATTTTGAAGCAATTTAAAATCTTTTTTAATTTAATTCGTCTATACCATACTACAGGCCTATAATATAATGCTTACATTATTTTTTGTTGGTTTTATGAACGAAGTATTTTTTTAAATAAACAAAGAATTTTATCGTTTAATCAATTTCTGAGTTATTTCTACCTTTTTTGTTTATAGTATACTACATTGTTTACATTTCAGTATGTTTATATTTGTTTACATCGTGTGTATTTTTGATTCATACAATGGGGAAATATTAAGTTTTTACACGAGTCTAGCAGGTAAAAACATAAAACGTAGTACGTAAGTTCCTATACGGCGACAAAAATGAGATAATGCTTTAGGGCCTAGTTTTCTTACACAAGGGTTAATTGCAATGAGAATTTGACAAATGTTTTCACAATATTTTTGTAAAATGTATGAATGTAAAATGGTTAAACACTGTATTTTTCATAAAAATAATAATTTAGAAATTGTATTTATTTTAAGTTTTAACGATATTGTAATAAATAACTTTGGAATATATTTTTTAAGACTTTTTTATGTAAACATTTAAATACATACCTACACGTTTGTAGTTAATTTTAGTGAAAATATTTTTAACCTCTAACCTTACAAATTTATTGAAGTATTTATTTAAATTTTTAAACAGCGATCACTATTTGAAATTTTCACTTATGGGTCGAGAACTTCCCACTAAAGTTGAATATTTAAATGTCGTATACTCGTATAATCCATAATTTAATATTTATAAGTATATAAAGTTTAGATGAAAGGAATGTTGTGGCTTTGTACGACACCCTATAATTTATTTTTGCATTTTCAGCTTCTAAATACATTAAAAATTATATATTTACACAAATTTGATTTTTGTTGAAATAAATATTATAATGTATAATTATAGTAACTCATTAGTAAGTATGATTGATATAATAAACAAAATGAATACATTAAAAATTAAAATATACATTTATAAAAGAAGGAGATGCATTATGGTACTTCAAATTTGATAATTAATTAAAAGTTTTCACTAAAAATGTAAAATTCAGTTGAAATAGGAAAACTAGGTTAGTTATTTTATTTATTTATTGTCAAATACATTTTTAATAGAAGTTTATTTGAATAATAGATATTCAAATTTTTAACTTATATTTCTAAAATGGACAAACAATTGAATAGGTTTAATAATTAATTTAGGTTCGTTCATCTTTTTTTTTTTTTTATTCAAATTTTATTTAAAATCTATGTAAAAAGTAGGTACAATAAGTACATTTTATGACAAAGTGTTTATCATCCATCTTAAAAGTTACTTCATATAATTAAAAGAAAGTATTAAGATGAAATTAAGTCAAATTATGCAAATTTTTATGCAAAGTATCACATAAGACTGGATATACATATTATTATTTTTAGTTTTACAAATAGCATACAAATTGTACTCACATAAGCATTATATCATTCAAATAGTAACACTAGGGAGGAACGAAATAAAGTGTAAACGAAAAATCAAAACTTAACAGACCCGTCTGAAAACCGAGATTGCGAGAAAAATGGGGCAATAAAGGATTTATAGCCTCAATTGAACATAAGATATAGTACCTATTATAATAACGCCATGAAGTAATCGGAAACTCACTTGATCGATAAACTATGAAGAAAAAAGAAAATAATTCAATGCTGGGAAGGTACAGTAAATAATTTATTGTCTATTTATTAC